TTGGGCCTTAGAATATAAATCTGGTCTAAATAGTCTTCATTATATTTTTATATTCCTTTTGATTTTGATTTCACAGATTCTGTTCAGAGTTAAAAATAAAACACAAAAATATTACGATAATTTTTACTCATTTTAGCGGAACTTAATAATACATTTCCTTACTGCAATAAAATTACATTAACGGGTTTCAGTCGTTTCACCGACGCTCTTTACTCTCTAGTAACTGAAACTATACCTTGTTGTTGTTACATATTATAAAATAAATTAAAATGTAAATTGCCTCCAAAACGGCCAGTAGTGGCTACGTTTTTAGACTACTTTCGCCTCTTAATCATTCTGGAGTGGTCATACGCACAATTCGACAGAAAACATAATTATACCATTCTAGATTGTAAATGTATATATCGTCGTTGCGCGTGCAATACCGCGGAAGAGCAGTTTGTAAATACCGCGTAACAGCAAAAAGTGCAAAATTGAAATTTCGCGGCTACAGACCCTTAGCGCTGATTCGCTTATACTACTTCTCACACAATTTGAATTAGCCAATAAGAAACGTCATATTTCAATCAAAACAATACCGCGTAACAGTACTTGCGTTTGAAGTTGGCTGCAAATCCGCGTATTTACGAAATGGGCGAACAAATTGAAACACGATTAGTGCGTGCTCTCGAAAATAATTATTTTGTAGTGAATAATAACCACGTAAGTACGTTTTTATTCTTTATAGTGTTTAGTTTTTAATGTATTTATGCTTGAATAGAGTAATTAAGTACAATTCTTTAGTATTTTTATGATTGTGAGTAATAATAACCTGTAACACGTAGTTAAGTGGTATTGATACTACATTATACTAGTTGTGTTTATCATTTACGCGGTATTGCATTATATTAAATTTGTTTTTTTTTTTAGATACAAATAATTTGAAGTAACCGAATAATGATGGAGGACGGAGAAAATGAAGAGTTTTTAGAGAATGTTGATATTAACGATGACGTGGTAACTTTAAGAGATCTATTTGAAAGGCGAAAAATATTGTTGCGAAAAAAGAAGGAAATATTGAATAAACAATATTATGCAAATAAACTTGCTGCAGAAAATCAGCAACAAGAACTAGTTTCCGTTCCTTTGTCAGGGGAATTAGAGCAAGAACCTCCGAACCAAAATTTGACATCCGAATTGACTACGCTTACAACAATATTGGATACTACTTCAACACAGAATAGAGATGAGAATATTACTTCTATTGATGTGAACATTAATATAGTGGAGCCTAATAAAAATGACCTTGAATTTTCGTCCGATGATTCAGTCACTGATCCTTCATTTGTCGCCCTCTCAGACATAACAAATTTAAAGCCACTATCACCAGCAAATACGGAGTGGTTTCCCGAAAGGGAAATAGAAAATACGGCGAAGAAAAATGGAAGAAAGCGGAAAGGGAATCCTAATAACTGGAAAAGAATAATAAATAAGCGGCAAAGGATGATGGGCGAGGAATACATTGGATTTAAAAAAGATGGCACTAAATTCGTTCAAAATGATCCTAAACCCGCCAGAATAATGGGTCCAATATGTATGTCGAAGAGATGTTTCAGTGGTAAAGCTATGTATTGCCCAAAGCTAACAGAAGAAGTGCGGTCAGAAATTTTTAAAACCTATTGGAAAATGAGTTGGCATGAAAAGAAAATGTATATAGCTTCAATGGTGGATAAGACACCTACAACTAGAAAAACTAAGAACTCAAATTCAAGGCGCAGTGACACCAAAGTTTACTATTTAAAAGTAAACGATAAAAAGGAAAGAGTTTGCTTAAAAACATTTTTGGAAACATTGGGCATAAAAGAATGGACAGTTCGATATTGGCTAGGAGAGAAGACGACTATCGACAATGAATCTGAATCAAGTGCTGTAGTAGCCACAGAAACAAAAAAAGAATCAGCCAGAAAATACTTGATGGCGCTACCGAAACTACCGTCTCATTACTGTAGACAATCTACTTCAAAGCTTTATTTAGAACCCATCATACAAACAAAATCACAATTGTATCGTCTATATGTAGACTACTCAGTTTCGCGAAATGAACCTGTGGCCTCTAGGAAGGTATTTGAAGGGGTTTTATTCGAAGAGAACATCAGTCTATTTCAACCAAAGAAAGACGCATGCGACCAGTGCTGCGCTCACAAAGCAGGTAACATGTCAGATGAGCAGTATATAAAACATATTGAGCTAAAAGACTTAGCTAGAATTGAAAAAACCCTTGACAAAGAAGCAGCACGGAAAGGGACGATACATGCATTAACAGCAGATCTTCAAGCAGTCAAATTGTGTCCTTCACTCAACGCCAGTGCACTATATTTTAAGACAAAACTTGCCGTCCACAACTTTACAATTTACAACCTGGGAACTAATGGAGTCGCGTGTTACTGGTTCGACGAGACGGCATGCGACTTAAAAGCTACTACATACGCATCATTTCTTGTAGATTATTTAACTAAATTACTGGAAAATGATCCAAAGGATGTAGTATTGTTCACAGATGGCTGCACAGCCCAGAATAGAAATAATATTGTGTCGAATGCGTTGTTGCGTTTGGCCATGGCCAAGAACATAGTTATAACTCAAAAATACTTGGAAAAGGGCCACACTCAGATGGAAGTCGATTCGGTGCACTCGGTGATCGAAAGAAAATTGAAAAATCGAGAAATATTTCTACCCTCACAATACGCAACAATCACGAAGGAGGCCAGAAAAGTGCCGAGTCCTTACCAGGTTATTACTCCTGATCATACATTTTTTAAAAACTTTGCTCATAAAGATCACCTCATTTATGATTCAATAAGACCTGGTCGTGGGGCGGGTGATCGTGTCGTCATGGACATAAGGGCCCTAAGATACAGTCCTAGTGGGACAATTGATTTTAAACTCCACTTTGTAGACGATTTTGTTCCTTTACCTAGGAGACCAAAAAAGATATTATCTGACTCTTTAATTGATTGCGTAGGTCCATTGTATGAATCCAGACAACCAATATCCAAAACAAAGTATGATCACCTACAGGAATTGAAGAGTGTCATACCTAAAGACTGTCATAGTTTTTACGATAATTTACCTTTTAAATAATATTCCTAATAACCAAGATCTTAAATGCTGTGATTATTAATCGTTTTAATGAGAATTTAAGAACTAAGATAATAGAAGTACTTCTACGTCTAAGATAATAAGATTATAAGAGCATCCAGGTGTAATGATTGCCATATTTAATTGTTAAAGCTTTTAATAAAAAAAAATCGTATTCGTCCAAGAAACTAATTAACAAAGATTGAAATGCTGGGATTTTAGAAGATCGAGGAGACTGATTAGTTTATTATTCTTAATTAAGTGAACGTAATTGTTTTATTGTAATTAGAGAAATTCAGGGATTGTGTGATTAAATTGATATCTAGAGTAAGAGTTATTGTTTTTTTTTCTAAGAAGATGTATAATTTTGTATGTTTTTTTCTACTATAATATATCATAATAAATTCAAATTAATAATATATTATTATGTATTTTATTTTAAGCCCGCGTATCTCCTAAAAGTATAGTATTTAAATGTAATTTGCTGGTACAAAACCGCGTAAGTGACTTTACACGAAATCTAAACAAGTTTCTAGTACATTTACGTTAAATTTCTATAAAATAAGTAACAAAGAAGCTGCTATAAAGTTCAGTCGGTAATATAATTATAAATTACCAAGTTATTAAGTTTTTTCTTCTTCCTGTAAAATTCTAAAAATGTAGATACGCGGTATTTACAAACTGCTCTTCCGCGGTTTTGCACGCGCAACGACGATATATCTACATAAAATGTATATATTGTGTAACTAAGATTCGAGTGCGTATAAACCACTAAATTGGCCCCACCTTCATTCAATCAAAAAAGCCCACTAGTAGGAACATTAATTTAACCGTAACACTTTGAATAGAGATTACAAATTTTACATAATTTAAGGCATTAGTCAATTTTCTTAGTAAGAGTTAAAAATTTATTTTGCACTATGATAATTACCGTTAATTTTTTAATTTTGTTTTCATAATTATTATTGTTCCTATTATACACGTTTCAAATTAATGTGTCATTAAAACTCAAAGGACTGTTCCAAGTCATTATTCATTTGGTTAAATTATGTTCCTAATTATTGGACTACATGACCTCACATAGTGGCACTTCACTCCTGAATGTGTAATTTCATTAATACAAATTCTATATAAAAGAAATGTGGGCTTATAGCGGATCAAGTTTTGTGCGATATCTTAATATGCGTTCCTCTTTATAAATTGTTAAATGTTTAATTCTTGTAATAATCAAATTAAACAGTTACCTAAAAAGTATAACATTAACAGATATTTGAAAACCTACCTAGTATAGCAACTAATTGAGATATTGAATACATTTTTGACAATACAATTACGCAACATCGCAATGTTTCTTGTATTTTATCTATTGCAATAAATGTTATATTACAGATCAGTAAATATTTCAATAAATTAATGGATAATTATGAAATACTTAAATACTTCATGCATGCATATTGGTTCCAGTCATAGAAAAAGAAGAATAAGTATAATTGAATAAGCTAGCATTATACACCACAACCTAAATCAGAACTGTTCTTATAATTTTTAGCAATAAAGCTTGAGGTTATTTACATATTAATCCAATAACCAATAACAGTAACTATTGGCTGATGTTGTTATATCTATTTACGCCAACTTAAAACTTGTTTAATTAAAGTTTACATTTATTTTATTAATTAAATAAAAATAAATGATGAATATTGAAAACCTATTTTTATTATGATCTATCTACAAACGACATTTAAGTTCACAACAAATCCTTCTTTTGCTATGATTTTTACAAGAAATATTCTATGAAACGAAGAGTTTAGTGTTTCCATGTGAGTTCAAGTGGGCATTTGTTCGGGACAATGAGCCTACAAAGGCGTACAGTCAGCTTGTAGCTAGCCATGGTTCACATTGACCCCGGACTCTAGTTCTGAAGCGGGCGTTTCCGGCTCCTCATCATTATAGATGTTCTCTGCCATCTGCCATACCTGGGCACAATGTTAATTTATGTAATAAGAGAATTAATGATAAAAGGAAACCCCTAAGTGTGTTAGGATCATGCCACTATACGCCATTTTTTTATAGGATCGAGTGACAAATGAGCACTCAGTCTACCTCATGGTAAGTGGTTGCTGTGGGCCATAGACATCTACATTTATCTTCAATAAAGAATGAAAATGCAGATGCGTTGTCACTCGTGAGGACTAAGATGGAATGCGTCTTTTCCAGTAAAAAGGGTCTCCCGTTCTCTACACTCACCATACAAAACATAGCAATATTAAGCTACTATTTTACGCTGGTATTCTGTGAGAGCGTGGTCCTTCCCCGGTCGAGCCGACCTATTCGTGCTACAACTATACTACTAATATAGCTGCAGCATAGCTCTACCATGTACAAACCTATAACATAAGTATAAATTAAGAGCTTCCTCACAACAAACAAATTCAAATCCTTACAAAAATTATTGAAAAAGGAAATAAATACCAACTAAACTAAACTAACGAAATAATACCTTTATTGTTACTATTCAGTAACTGTGGCAAATAATAACTAACAAAGAAAATCACTAGAACTGAACATAACATCACTTCTTAGCGAGCCCCATTACAAGGCGCCAAAGTATATTTCCCACCTGCATAATGTTATCCTCGGAAACAGAGCAAATGACCCATGGCTCATTGGGATTCCATGAAAAGTCTGAAATCTTAGCAGTGTGGCCTCCGTGAATGAACAGAAGTTCTGGAGGACCATCCTCAGCATCTTCAGCAGTTTGTTCCTCACCAATCTTTGATAGATCCCATACATGCAATCTGAAATATTTTTAATTTATTATTTAATAATATAAAATTGGCCTCCTCTAACAATGGTAGGAGGCCTGTGCCCGGCACTGGGATATAATATATAGGCTGTAACGTTACTTTTTTACTTTTATATAATTGGTAGAATCAAGTGATTAATTGCGTTGCTTTAAGGAATATAATTTCATCAATTTCTTCTAGAGATTACAAAAATAAGAGTTTAGTAACTTACAAACACACACAAACACGCACGCGCACACACACAACGAGGAGCTATGCTGAACTTTAATCCAAATAAAAAAGGTGTCGCCCACCAACCAAGGTGCGGAGACGACAATCATAACCAAGAAGGAGTAAAACGAAAATATACAATGGGGCCTTCCACAAATGACGAGACAAGATGTGACATTTATTGTTAAATTCGAAATAAATACATAGATAACTCAAAAGCTACTGGCTAGATCTTGATCAAATTTATATAGGACCACATGAGAAGCACCAGCTTTCAAATAACACTTTAAAAAAATTTACAGTCGAATTGAGAACCATCCCCTTTTTTTTTGAAGTCTGTTGACAAAAATTTTTAAAAAAATATTAAGAAACTAGCTGTTCCTCGCCATTTCGCCCGTGTTATTTGGGGTTTTAATTATTTTTGCGCGGAACCCTAATTATTTTTCTAAATTAAAACTAGTCTAAGTTACTCCTTGTGACATCAGCTATCTGCCAGTGAAAATTCCGTCAAAATCGGTCAAGCCATTTCGAAGATTAGCCGGAACAAACAGACAGACAGACAGACTAAAACTTTACAAATTGTATATTAGTACCGTATATACTTTCATATGCATTTAGTAAAAAGCTGTAATTTTGACATTACAAACAGACACTTCAATTTTATTTATTTGTATAGATAATCGTCAAAATCGGTTCACAATTGAGGAAAATATCACGTAAATTCATACAAAAAAACATGAATTTGCCACACTGTGCAAGCGGGTAGCCATCTACAGTTTTTTATTTTTTGCCGTTATAAGGAAGATGCTATTGCCCATATCCTGATTTGTTTCCCTCTGTCGTCTTCTAATGTCGTAAACACCCATCAAAGAAATATAGTGGATATTCTTACAACACCACTAGACGGTACATCCATTTATTTAATTATTTAGTCTTTATTGCACCAAACATTTGTACAAAAGGCGAGCTTAATGCTATATGGCATCCTCTACCAGCTAACCTTGGGTAGAACAGAGTGAGTTTGGGCAGTTAAGTTGTCATGATATAATTCAGTTCAAATATATACATGCAACACATACTTAAAATATACACATATATATAAAAAGTATATCATTCATATAAATAAAATTGAAGTGTCTGTATGTAATTGTCATGTAGTGGTGGTTAAGAATATCCACTACCCCATATCTTCCCGTGGGTTTCGTAAAAGGCGACAAAGGGAAACAGGCAGGAGATGGGCAGCAGCATCTTCCTGATAACAACCAAATTACAATAAAAAAACTGCGGTTGCCAACCCGCTTGCCAAGCCTGGCAACTATGGCAAAACCCCCCCAAATGATGAGTGTAACAAAGAGACGGCCCCCAGTCCCCGGCGGCCCCGCTATTCCTGGCTACGGTGGCGAACATGGTAACGGCGGGGCAGGGGGTGCTAAGAATCTCCGGTGAAGGTTCGGTTGCCACCTATGACGACTCGACCTGGCAACTTATAACGCACGCACCCTGACGACTGACGAGATCCTGGAGTTGGAAGAAAAGATAGACAAGTTGCGCTGGAATATCATAGGATTATCCGAGGTCCGAAGAGAGGGGGAGGACAGGGTAATCCTCGAATCCGGCAACTTGTACTATCACCGGGAGGGCGACCATCTGTCCCAAGGAGGTGTCGGATTTATCGTCCACAAGTCTCTCGTTAACAACGTTGTAAAGATTGGGAGTGTGTCGAAGAGGGTTGCGTACCTTATACTCAGAATCACCAAACGGTATTCGCTGAAGGTAATACAGGTTTACACACCAACCTCGGCACACCCCGATGAGGGGTTGGAGGAAATGTATGAGGAGGTGGAGGAAATGTATGAGGAGGTGGAGGAAATGTATGAGGAGGTGGAGGAAATGTATGAGGATATCTCTAGAGCCAAGCATTCCTCCAAAACCCAATATACGGTGTTAATGGGAGACTTCAACGCAAAACTAGGCACAAGAGAGAACGGTGAGCTGAAAGTAGGGAAATTCAGAATAGAGCAACCCAAGGGTCCAGCAGCTGACCGACTTCATGGAGAAAGAGGGACTCTTTATGATGAACTGTTTCTTCCAGAAGCGGCCCCACAGAAAGTGAACCTGGTCGAGCCCCGACGGTTCGACAAAAAATGAGATTGACTTCATTATGACGACCAGACGACAACTGTTCAGTGATGTCTCAGTGATCGCGAGGGTGAAAACCGGCAGCGATCACCGAATGGTGAGAGGCACACTGAACCTAAACGTTAAGTTGGAGCACGTCTAATGAAGTCAACGCTCCGTCCCCCTCGTGCTCTAATCCAAAGTCCCGAAAACTTTCAGCTCGAGCTACGAAACCGCTTTCAGTGCCTAAAAGATTGCAATGCAGTGGACGATATGAATGACAAGCTCGTGGAAACTGTCCATGCGGTCGGAGCTAAGTTTTGCAAGACCCGCCGCAGAAGAACACAAAAACTCTCCGATCACACTCTTAATCTCATGGCTGTTAAACGGGATATGAAGCTGCAGTCTTCAGTAGATTTGACAGCATACAGGCAACTGAACAGACAGATCTCCAAATGCATGCGGCGGGACTTACGCAACTTTAATACTGCTCGTATTGAAGAAGCGATCGAGCGGAACCAGGGCTCCAAAGTCTTTGCTAGAGATCTGTCTGCCAGAAAGAGCCAACTGTCGAAGCTGAAGACCGAGTGTGGCAGCGTCGTTTCCGGGACACCTGAGATTTTGAGTGAGATTGAGAGGTTCTATGGGCAGCTGTACACATCATCGTTGGAGCCACATGCAAATGTGAGTAACGATCCAAGAGCGAGTCTTATCCGACACTATTCCGAAGATATCCCGGACGTCAGTCTGAGCGAGATTAGAATGGCTCTCCAGCACCTTAAAAACGGCAAGTCCCCAGGCGAGGATGGAATTACAGCCGAGCTTCTGAAAGCGGGTGGAAACCCAGTACTTGAAGCTCTTTAATTCCGTCCTCCATGGTGGCATTACACCGGAGGCGTGGAGCAGAAGTGCGGTGGTCTTGTTCTTCCAGAAAGGTGACAACGCTCTCTTGAAAAACTACAGACCGATTTCCCTTCTGAGCCGCGTCTACGTGCTGTTTTCGAGAGTCATTACGAATCGTCTCGCGCGCAAACTTGACGACTTCTAGCCTCCCGAACAAGCCGGTTTCCGAAAAAGCTTTAGCACCATAGACCACATACATACACTTCGGCAAATTGTACGAAGTCCGAGGAGTACAAGTTGCCACTAAGTCTGGCGTATGTGGACTATGAGAAAACCTTTGAGTCCGTCGAAATTTGGGCGATGCTGCCGTCCCTTCAGCGGTGCCAAGTTGACTGTCGGTATATCGAAGTGTTGAAGTGCTTGTAAAGCAGGGCGGCTACGATGGCTATCCGAGTACAGAATCAGAGTACGAAACCAATTCAATTGCAGAGAGGTGTAAGACAGGGTGACGTCATATCCCCGAAACTCTTCACCGCTGCATTGGAAGACGTTTACAAGCTTCTGGACTGGAAAGGATACAGTATCAACATCAATGGCGAGTACATCATTCACCTTCGATTTGCCGACGATATAGTCCTTATGGCAGAATCGCTGGAGGACCTAAGCACTATGCTCAATTACCTCAATAGTGTTTCCCAATGGATAGGTCTTAAGATGAATATGGACAAAACAAAGATCATGTTTAATATCCATGTCACACCTATGCCGGTAGTAGTTGGGAGCACTAAGCTCGAAGTTGTTGATGAGTATGTTTACCTGGGACAAATAGTCCGACTAGGTAAGTCCAACTTCGACCGAGAGGTCAATCGATGGATTCAACTGGGTTGGGCAGCGTTCGGGAAATTACGGCACATCTTCTCGTCAGGTATACCTCAAAACTTTAAAACGAGACTGTACAACCAGTGCGTGCTGCCAGTGATGACATATGGAACTGAGACGTGGTCCTTCACTGCTGACCGGATAAGGAAGCTCAAGGTCGCTCAGCAAGCTATGGAGAGGGCTATGCACGGAGTTTCTCTGCGTGATAAACTTAGAAATGAGGATATCCGTAGTAGAACCAGAGTGACCGACATAGCCCAACAGATTAGTAAGCTGAAGTGGCAATGGGCCGGCCATATAGCTCGAAGAACCGACAACCGATGGGGAAAAAAGGTTCTCGAGTGGCAGCCTCGTACCGGCAGGCGAAGTGAAGGGCGTCCCCCCACTAGATGGGGTGACGACCTGGTAAGATATGCAGGAAGTCGATGGATGCAGGTGGCTCAGGACCGTGCTTTGTGGCATTCCTTGGGGGAGGCCTATGTTCAGCAGTGGACTTGTGAAGGGCTTGTAATGATGATGATGATGATGTCTGTATGTAATATCAAATATACTTTTTTTATAGAATAGGGGGCAAATGAGCATGCGGCTCACCTGATGGTAAGTGACTATCGCCGCCCATGAACAACTGCAATGTCAGGGGTATTGCAGATGCGTTGCCGACCTTATAGAAAGGTGTAAGCTAAAAACTGTTTTTTATAAAGCTTGGGGGTTATTTACGTGCTATTTTTTTTTAATAGGATTAGGGTGACAAACGAGCACACAATCCACTTCAGATGGTAAGTGGTTACTGTGACCCATAGACACCTACATTTATCCTCAATAAAGAATCAAAATGCAGATGCGTTGTCACCCGTGAGGACTAAGATGGAATGCCTCTTTTCCAGTAAAAAGGGTCTCCGATTCTCTACACTCACCATGCGAAAGACAGCAGTGTTAAGCTGCTATTTTACGCTGGTATTCTGTGAGAGCGTGGTCCTTCCCCGGTCGAGCCGACACATTCGTGCTACAACTATACTACTAGTATAGCTGAAGCATGGCTCAACCACGTTAAGAAGGACATGAATAACAATTTTGAAAATTTTTGTCTGTCTATCAGTCTGTCTGCTAATCTTCCACATGGCTGAACCGATTGTGGTGAAACCTCAAGAAAAGATGGATTCCTTTCCCTCTGTCGCCTCTACGACACCCACGGGATGATATAGGATAGTTGATATTCTTACACACTTATTACAGGCACTATACAGTTATTACCATCTCGTATAAGTCAGATGTAATAAAATACCCAGCCCGACAATTGTGAGCCAACGTCAAAGATGCAATCAGTCTACTTAGCGATAACAACATAGTTCTTCTATTATGGGAGAAGCCAATATCTATCTATATATTGTTACAGGGTGGTAAAAAGAAGTTAAAGTTACAGCCTATATACGTCCCACTGCTGGGCACAAGCCTCTCCTCATTTCTGAGAGGGTTTTAGGGCAAGGAAATGTCCGCCACGCTGCCCCAATGCGTGTTGGCGAACTTCACGTCTTCGAATTTTTTCTTTTTTCTCACACATGCAGATTTCCTCACGATATTTTCCTTCACTGCCGAGCACGTGATAATCAGCACTTAAAATTGCAATTAACAATTTCATTGGTGCCGGCGGGGATCGAACCCGGGTTGCTCGCGTACTGTGAAATTTACAGCAAGCGCTAACCATCTGAGCTAACACCGCCCACGGTAAAGAGAAGTAAATATTGATTTTTAATAATAAATGTACCTTCGGTCAGTTCCACTGCTGGCGAGTATTGTCTCGTTATGCGGCGACCATTGCACTTGGAAAATCTCATCCTTATGCGATTCAAATGAATGTAACTTAAGCTTTAGATTCCGCAAGTCCCACAAAGCCACCTGTGTTAAATTTTATATACACATAAATCACATTATTAACAAAAATGAAGGCAGGAAAGGTTTTTGTAATTTCATTGTTTGAAACTATATTTTTACTATATGCTTTACTTATTTTTATATGTTCCCGACATATTGAGTGTTTTGAATGTAAATAACGTACCGTTTTATCGGCGCTGCCAGTGGCTAGTATGAACTCCGAGTAAGGGTTGAAACTTAGGCAATTCACTTCTGCTGTGTGAGCGTCGACTGTGTGCGACGGTTTCGATGTGTTGTTACACCTAATTCAAACAAGAATGACAATGATAATAAGCCAAATCGAGGAGGAATCCGAAAAGAAAAAAAAATAATTGCAAACACAAGTTATACGAGTGTACACTGACGAAAAATTCAAGACTGAAAAAATCGTTCCTATATAATAATAACCTGGTATCCCAGATCATGAGTTTTTGGTCATCGGCGACGGAGCCGAAAAGCGATTCATGTAGCAGATGCCAGGCCACATCCTCCACTACGGCCGTGTGTCCCGTGAACACTGACTTAGCTTCGATCACGCGTCCCTCTTTTGGAGTGGCGTTTATGTCCCAAAGACAAATTGTGTGGTCATCACTGAAACAATATGCATATCATTATATAATTTTATTTAGAAATTTGGATTTTGCTTCTGCTAGTAGAAAATTGGGGATGTTATGGCATCAAAACTATAACCAACATTATTAATTATTCAAAATAAAAATAAAATAAAAACAGAAAATACTATAATAAATATAAATATTTTATATGTGGTAGAGCATTGCTGCAGCTATATTAGCAGTATAGTTGTAACACGAATGGATTGGCTCAACCGGGGAAGGACCACACTCTCACAGAATACCAGCGTACTATAGCAGCTTAATGCTGCAGTTTCGTATGGCGAGTGTAGAGAACCGGATACTCTTTTTACTGGAAAAGCAGCATTTCATCTTAGTCCTCACGGGTGACAAGGCATCTGCATATTGATTCTTTATTGAGGATAGATGTAGATGTCTATGGGTCACAGCAACCACTTACCATCAGGTGACTGAGCTCATTTGTCACCCTATACTTTAAAACAAAAATAAGAATAAAACCTTGGGGATATTCAAGACATTTCGCCTTTTCCTCTCTGTTTTTTTCTTTCTGTTATTTGTTTTCTTAGTGTGCAATAAAGGTTATTGTATAAAGTCGCAAAATTAGATACATTCAAATACTTAAAATATTACCTAGCAGAAAGAAGATAGCCATTAAGATTTGGATTCCATGATAAACCATAACCTTCTTTTTGGTGCCCACGCAACCTGTAAGGCAAAAAAAAACATCAATCATTTTTAATTAATTTATATGGAAATTATGGACAATATTATTTTCAGTGATCTAATGGTTCCACATAACTTTCAGGAAGGTGTCAGTTACCTGGCATCTTTATGTGAGAACTGATCTACCATTATTAAAAGTGTGAATTGATAAAGTAAGTTGTGATGTATATTGCTGCAATTGTCGTAATGTATGCTGTAAAGCAGGGTTTCTCAACCTTTTTTTGACCAGGGACCACTTTGCTTTTTTTCTTAGTTAACAGGGACCACAAGGTGAAAGAAATAACTGTGTTAATCCAACAATAAATTATAACCACAACTTTTAACATAATCTATACAAATAAATAAAATTGAAGTGTCTGTTTGTAATGTCAAAATTACAGTTTTTTACTAAATGTATATGAAAGTAAATACGGTACCTATAACTAAAATACAATTTTTAAAATTTTTGTCTGTCTGTCTGTCTGTTTGTTCCGGGTAATCTCCGAAACGGCTGGACCGATTTTGACGGGACTTTCACTGGCAGATAGCTGATTTCATAAGGAGTAACTTAGGCTACTTTTATTTTAGAAAAATAATTAACGTAACGTAAGGTAACGTTTTTTACAAAAAAAAAAAAAATAATTAGGGTTCCGCGCAAAAACATAAAAACCCTAACACGCGAACGAAGTCGCGGGGAACAGCTAGTTATATAATAAACTGAAAAGAAGCATTCATAACATTAGTATTTGTGTATTTATTGTAAAAGCTAGTATGTACTTACTAACATGACGCGAGGCGTTGCACTGCCCGCGTGACGAGAAAATAAACGTGTTATTTAAAACAATTAGGTATGTAAAATATTTAAATCTAAAACTATATTTAAGCTCTTGTGGATCACTGATTGGGAATCACTGCTGTAAAGACATCACTCACTCCGAGTTTCATGTGTACTTAGGTGATGTGAAACGAGCGATATTTACATTGGTGTGTTATGTTTAAAAATGTTTCTGTCAGCCAAATATAAGGCTAAGCGGCCACTAGGCTCGCCGAGCCGAGTCGAATCGAATCGCAGAAATTTACCTCCTATATATTTACTATGAAAATGCGTCCATTAGCTAGGAGCCGCGGTGCGCCGAATTGAATCGACCGCGCGAATTGCTTGACAGGCGAATTTCTTCGCCGATGCGATTCGATTCAACTCGGCGCGCCTCAGTCGACGCGGGGAAGTGAATGCGTGCCAGCGTATTTTAATTAATTTCTATTTCGGTTTCGTAAAAATATTTTTGTTTAAATAAAAATGAATGAAGAACTATTGACATCACTGGTCCAACAATATCCAGAATTGTTTAATTAGGAAGATCCACATTATCATGATGAAATAAAAACATATCTTCATCCCAGCTGTCCATGACGCAAAAACGACCTATTTTGATGAAGAATTTGCGATGAATGAACAATTCGATTCGATTCGTCAGGGATGGACGCACTAGGAATAAATGCGACTCGCTTCGATTCGACGCATTTCTGCTGTAGTCGACGCCAGGCTTAATAAAGAAGCTTAGCTTCCTGATTAATTGCTTTGTTTGGTAATTTAAACCTTTTAGAAGCATGTATGTCTCAAATGATAATTTATGTAACAAAGAGGCAAATCTAAATAAATTATGCTATGTGATGTTAATTAAAATTTCTCACATTTTAATTAATTTATGTCACATAATACAAAATTCTTTTGATGCAGTCAATTTTAAGCAACATGAGCATAGTAAATTACACCAACTATTAAAAAAAAAAATACCTGAGGTCAGGGTGACACTCGCCGGAGGGTTCTGGTTTTGATGGATGCTTAGTGTAATCAAACACTAAGACATCAGAGGAAGGAGTTTTGGTGGCAATGACACAGGGATTCTGAGGCATATAGCGTGCCCTATTCACTTCACCTTCGTGATTGATCTTGATTTCTATGTCAATTTTACCAGAAACTGAACCAAAGCCACCAAATTCTGAAACATGAAGTTGTTTATAATCAATTTGCAGTTTTATTGTTCATTCATTAATTACAGCCTATCAAAAGACACTGCTATCCCTTTGTTGGGGTGCGAAATCTCTTATGCAGCCAAAGGCAGTATGACAGCTATCATTATACTGAATATTAATAATTTGTTACAACTAAGGAAATAGATATTTCAAAATATCACCATTTTGTAATTTACTGTTACCAAAATAAGAGAAAAAGGCATTTTATGCATTTGTCGGAAACAAAAATATGTAATAAATGAAAAAGAAAGAATAAAAGAAAAAAATATGGCAGGGATCCCCTGCCTTACATTATAAGGAGGTTTTTACCCTCCTTGTAATGTATGAATAAATACAAAAGAAGAAAAATAACTAAATGGAATTTATAATTAAATATCAAGTACTAAGTATTTAAAAGTAATATTATATGTACAACCTATAGTGAAACTACCAATTAATTCATAGTATGAACTAAACTCTAACAAGAAAAATGTTACTTACCACCTTTATCATTGTCATAATGGCTCGCATCAAACTGTGCATCCTCATTTGGTAGTTGGACACTAGCAATAAGCAAATGATTTTGCTCATCTGATGTGTGTGTCCCCAAAATCAATCTGCAATACAATTTCAGATCAGTTGACTGGCATTACATTAACTAAAAATGGGCCTCAGATATACAACTTTTTCGCATGCTGTCGACACATGTTATGCAAATATGTATAAATGGTTCATTTACCAGCTTTTTTTTTGCATTTGTAGATATTGTAGTACAGTCGACTCTCAATAATTTGACACTTGTTAATTTGAAATTTTTTCCAGGTCCCTTGAATAATACTGGATAAATTGAATAAAATCAATATTAATTGATCCCCTCGGTAATTTGATAATTTGAAACGTTTATCATGCACAGACCTATTGTTTATTTACATACATGTACAGACCTGCCCATTGTTTATATAAATAAGAGAGACATCTTTTCAAAATTACATTTGTGAATAATTGTATAAATGTTTAAAATAATAAATCACGAATTTTGATAAAACTCTTGTTTACTTTATTTTTTCCTCCCTCCCTCTTGGTTATCTAAACTCCTGTTATTTTGAACTCTTGATAATTTGAAATTTTTCTCTGGTCCCTTAAGTTTCAAATTATCGAGAGTCGACTGTATTATAAATGGATAATTGGATTTGTGCATATATGCAAAGGCCTTAAATAAGAAGGCCTCAACAACATGGTACAACAGTTAGTCTAGAGATATAGAGATGACAAAAGTTTGTAGCAAAGGCTCATATCTAACAGTTAACTACTTACTGACTGATGATAAAACTGATAAAAAACATTTATCACGAGACTAGTAGATGGACAATGGACATGCAGGGTAGACATGGCACTAATGTTTAAATTTATTTGTTTGTTAAAAGTTATTTGTTATTTTTTTTTAACAGATAAAATGAACAGTTAAAAATATTATTACTTTTGTATTGAATTTTTATTTTCAATCAGTTGATGTTAATTCTATTGCTTAAATTTTGTGCATAAAATTTTAATTCAACATTTCTTTATACTTTAATAGACACAGGACTCTGTACTAAAGTCTTATTAAGCTAAGCATATTTGAGTTTATTAATTCAATATTAACATTATATTATAATTTATAATAAAATGTTGAATATTTACATATTAGGTATTTACACTTAATATAAATGTTTAATATTTTCTGCCATTAATTTTTTTTTATTACTAGTAGACATGATTATTAGTTATATTTTATTAAGTCTCAGAAACATTATGTGTACGATAGTTTTTTTGTAATAATTACATGTTGCCATTTTTTCGCCTCTGGCAATTTTTTCAAAATGGTCCCTATGAGTTGTGTTACGTCTCGGCATCATAAAAGGTGAAAATCAAACTTGTAACTAAATTCTTATATTTGTAAACTTTTTTTTTATAGGATAAGGGTGACAAACGAGCACACAGTCCACCTGATGATAAGTGGATGCTGCGGCCCATAGACATCTACATATATCCTCGTTTGCAAATCAAAATGCAGATGCGTTGTCACCTGTGAGGACTAAGATGGAATGCTTCATTTCCAGTAAAAAGGGTCTCCTGCCACCTGCACTCACGAAGCGAAACGCAGAGGTAAACCTCTACTTCACGCTGGTATTCTGTGAGGTTGTGGTACTACCCCAGTTCGAGCCGGCCCATCCGTGCGACATTAAAAGCTGCCGCGTGGCTCTACCACTATTAAAACACAAAATAATAAAAAACCAATTTCACTAAATCTTAATTAACTTCCCTAGTATTTATTTTTCCAACTTTTTATATAAATCCCTTGTAATATTTCTGATAATGTAAACCAAACAAAATAATATTAAACTGACGAGTTTTGTTCAAATTAATAACAACCTATATTTCAGCCAATAGCATAACAACAAAGTACATTAAATTATCATTAGCTACTAATGTATTCATCCAATAGTGTTACATCTATGTGTTAAAAATATCAATTCATACAGTTTAGTAAAAATATCACTTCAAAAGATTTAATAGCAAACTATATATTTCTCAAGGTGGTATGTAAAGAAGACTAGATGGCATAAATATGGCTAATTAAATATAAAATTATAAATCGGTAAGGTAAGAAATAGATTGTCGATTGTTTTGAATGAACTGGAATATTATAATTTTATTCATTATGTTTAATGTTTAATGTTTAATTTATTTATTTAATAAATTTATAAAAATTTTTACCTGTTTATTTTAGCAGTTAAAAGATATATTAACCATCTTTAATGCAGAGTGTCAATGAATGTAGATTGAATTATGTTTTGCAGCAATTTGTGTAAGGCCTATGATTAGCAGTGTTTTTGAGACAGGGTGAAATAATGATAATACATACATGGCTTTTTTTTTACATAGCCTTTTAATTCCTTCAGATTGTTTTGGTTACCTAAAATTAAATAATTTAAGAGGGTACCACCATTGCGGTACCTCTATGGTATAGGTTGGCCTCACCAACACAAAGGTTTGTAACCTTTGCAACCTTACAGGGCGTTCTGTCTTTCATTAGGACTGGAATAGTGCCCAAATCTTGGCAGCTAACCTATGTGCAGCCTATGTGAAAAAAGACAGCTGTACTGATGCTGCCAGCTATGGGCCAATTTCAATTACCTCAATACTATAGATGTAAGACTATGGCATATATACTGAACACCCACCTCAAGGCATACCTAGAAAAGAGTGAAATCCTCAATGACCGCCAGTACAGGCTTCACATAATTTTTTCAACCAGGGACCTTCCTGTGTATGCCACTCCCATCATGAACACTCGAAAAAGACTTGCTATTTCCCTAAATATCTCAGAGACTTGGCAGGGTTTACATATTATGTACTAGCTTTTTGGTCAAGCTTCCAGCCTATACCTTATCCTCTAGTCTGATCAACTGGTTGAAAGATTTTTTGAGTGCATGGTCTCTCTATGTTGATATTGAGAGCCACTCTTCTCAGCCTGTGACAAGTAACGCTGGATTTCCTCGGGGTATGTGTTCCCTTCACAACCTACTTCCTACTGCATATTGACAATCATGGCATCAATAGGCATGCAGATGACAGCACAGTTGTGGAAAAGTTCTAGCCAAATACTAAGCAGGTCAGGATCAAATCCAGTGATTAGAATCTGTGGGATATGTCGATCACCCACAAAAGGCAGTCTGCAAGTGGGGATCTTCAATCTAGTAAGATTTAAAGACTCAAAAACACATGTGTCTTTACCACAAAAAGGAAACTGCTCTCCCTGGCAGTTTGTGGACCTTCATCTAAGCCACATTCACACAATGAGCTATCCCTAACTCTGATTGAGTAGAAACTTCACAGGATGTATCTTTGGACTACTGACTGCCTACAGTTTTTAGATAATGTGGTTGGGTCACAAAATTCTATACTTATATAATAGTAATGTTAGGCTAAAATATTCTTTAAGTAGTGTATTAACATGCATTGAGGTGTCTTGTGAGAAGATAATATTATACATTTTTGAGGTTAAATAAACTAAAACATTCACTGTTTGAGCAAATCATAATCTCATTTTAAAAATGATAATATGTAATATAAATATGTACATGTAAGCACTTAGAAAAATTAAATATGTTTACACAATTGGTCTTTATTGGTCAATGTTTGTAAGTACAAATAAATATGCTCTTCCAGTGAAAGAAAAAATATGTAAGACATAGAACATGAACACACATTTAATAAAATGAAAATTCATTAAACAAAGACTAAAATTATAATTTTATATTATAAACAGTTTGAATATTTTACCTACAATTACACAGTAATACATAGTAAATTACTGCTAAAAAGCTGGCAATTCGCTCGATAATTATTCTTACCTATGTACTGAGTAGTCTTTGCCCTCTGGCCTGGTGACATCTGGAAGCCACTGAGCTGTAAGCGAAGGCCATTCCAGGGCATGGGTCATCACCAGATCATATAAGAATGGAGTATTTTTCTTCCATATTTTATATTCTTCATTGATAACCCTCTCTTCCACCGCATCGTCGAAAGTTTCTAAAACCATTATCATTAATTGACAATAAAAACTACGATCCTGATAACCAAAAAACAAAAAGCAAGCTGTCAGAGAATTATTCCCGTTTTCATACAATACATCAATACTAAGATTGCTAATTTACCTCCATCACCTTTGTCACCCATTTTATAATTTAAGCGAACTATGTAATGTTCGCTATTAATTAAGTTTTTAGGAAATTAGAAAATCCAACCGGCCCCGTAAAGGCGCCAAACAACAACCTTTTCTCGGCGTTACTGTCCAACAGACAACAAATTAACTTCCGGTTTTTTTAAAACATTAATTTATAGATAAACATAATATCTTACTTTAGAACATTGATATTATTATTATTTAAAAAAATACTAAAGAATATAAGCAAGATATACTTGCAAACCGTTTACAAATTTTAAATTAAATTATTTTGACTAAGTAATATCATATTAGTCTGTGATTTTCTATAATATTGTAGTCTTTGGGAGTTTTTGGCGGGAACTTGAACAGTGGAGGATTGCTGCTCTTGTATTATTGTTTCAATAATGGTTTGAAGTGGATTTTAATATGTAAAAAGTGGTGCGTGCGATTTTGTCTATTAAATGTCTGTGCATGTCAACTATTAGTGGAAACGGTGAAACAAATGCTCTGATGGCGATGTGATTCTCAAGATAAGGTGTCTGTGTCTGCTTATGCGCCTTGAGATAACATCGCCAACTGTCAGCTGTCTGCTGGCTCAAGTTGCCGTCAAAATCTTCCAAGGGCTGCATAATGTGACGCATCAACAGCAACATATTGTGGAGGGTGTGTAGGTACTATAAAGAATTATTTTCACTTGAAACTGAGATAAAATGAAGACATGGCTTAAAAGACAAGCATTCGAGACAAAAATCTTGATAAAAAATATTTTACCACTAACTGTTAAGTTGGCTAACTTGAGCTCAGTGCTGCCATATAGGTAAGGTTTGTATAATTGCCTTGTACCCAAAGAGAATATAATCACTACGTTTACTTGTTCCCACTTGTACCCTTGTACAATATATTCTATACTCAACCAAAACTTTCTTCTTTTTTTCTTTTCCTTTTAGTGGCGGTTTGGTAAAATTCACCAATGACGTATTGAGTGGAATATGAAAGCTTATGAGTTTAATTAAAATAACAGTCTGTGATAATACAAGGATTTAGTTTTCCTCCTAAAATTTTGACAAATCTATCTGTTGAATTACCTAGACCAAATGACAAACACATGTATTAGAATCTTATTAGTATGTTAAAAGTGACAAGGATTTAAAGTTGCATGTTATTAGTATTAATAAAATTACATAAAATATACATAAAAGGAGTACATACTTATATATGTTAAAAGAGAATTAAAATCTATAGGTCGAGAAATATAATGAAGGTAATCTAAATATAAATCTAAATAAAGGGAGGAGGATAGTTTGGGACAGTTGAAAAAAATATGGTTTGTGAAACCTTCATCTAAGCCACATACACACAATGAGTTATCCCTAACTCTGATTTTGGCCAGATGTACATGGTGTACAAGCATGTCCAATTCTCAATCTACAGATGATTGAAATTGCATGTTTTTTTGCTTTGTTAAATTTAAAAATTCAAAGCTTGGGAGGAATAACCTCTTGAATGGCAGCATAGTGCTTACCCTTAACATTTTTGGATACTTCCCACAATTTATTCCAATTTTCATTCAGTTTCCTTTTAGCTAGCAAAATTAGGGCATGTTAGTAAATTAAATTTTGTAGAATGCCATTAGCAATTGCATTTTAGCGAGTACATCAGCTGTTTCGTTTCCATAGACACCACTGTGACCAGGGATCCCGGCTACTGAAACATGGATTCCTTTAAGATGGCATCTGAATAGGGTATTTTTTATTTTGAGAATTAGTGGAAATTTATGTTTGATATGGAATTGATTGGACAAAATAGCTAACAAGCAACTTTTTGAATCTGTGAAAATAACTGTTTTATTAGGATTATGTGACTCGACATATAACAAAGCTTCACTAATAGTGACAGATAGACAAGATAGTGACGGGCATTTAAAGTTAAGAATAATTTTGAACTTACGAATCCAAACAGCAGCTCCAGTATAGTCTTCATCAGACTGTTTGGAAGCATCTGTGTACATGATAAGCCAATCTTTAAAGGTTTTTTCGACAATTTCTTTTAATTTTAAATTTGCCATTGGAGAATGCTTTTCTATACCTAGATCAAGGTGGATGTCAGGTTGGTAAACAATTGCCGCGTAAGGAACATCAAAGAGTGGATTTATTTTACATGAAAGAGAAAGATTGGGTAACGAAGCTGAAGAAAAATTACAAAACTTTTGAACAAGCAGGGAGAATCCTTATAGGTCCAGAAACGGCCAGATGAGATATACTCTGAAAGAAGATGCAATTTAGAAATTACGGGATGATTTGAAAACTGACTGATATTAAATAAGAATATGTCGGGAAGGTATTGCATTCTCAATTTTAAAGGAGGATTTACGCACTCAACCTGAAGAATATTTATTGGTGAGGATTTCATTGCCCCTGTAATAATGCGAAGACATTTCGATTGAAATTTGTCCATTACTCTCAGGGATGATTTATTGCAAGGTTCCAAGAGAAAAAATCCATAGTCAAGGTAGCTTCGTATTAAAGCATTATACAGCAATTTCTGAGAAAAAGGATGGGACCCCCGCCAAACACCAGGCAAAGACCGAAGAAAATTTAAATTTTTTTTCGCATTTTTGTGATATATATTCAACGTGATGATCAAAGGACAATTTCGAATCGAGGATAACTTCCAAAAATTTAAGGAAGCCTCTAACTGGAATAGGTTGATTATCATATACAAGTGATATATCGGAAACTCGCCTTTGACGGGATAAGACCACCACACTACTTTTGGCTACAGATAAGGAGAGGCCATGATAGTTAACCATTTCTGTAAATATTTCATAGATGAGTTTAGGCGGGAACAAGCCACTGTGAAGTTATCTAAAGAGATGTATAGAGCTAAATCGTTTGCATATTGAAGGGCATTACAAAAAGAATTTACTAAAAGTTCTAAATCATGTGTATGTATAGAATAAAGGAGAGGAATAAGCACTGAGCCTTGTGGAAGTCCTTTCCATATAGTTTTTGGAGGAAGCAGGAAATTTCGAACGTTTATAAATATGGATCTAAAAGAGAAAAAGTTATATACATAATTGACTATCCTCGCTGGAATGCTCAGATTAAACATTTTCTGCCTGAGCACAGGAAGAAGCACATTATCATATGCAGACGAAATATCCAAGAAAACTCCTATGTGCAATTCATGTCTTGAAAAAGCAATACGAATATCTGTGCCCAAAGTACTAAGGCTATCTATGGTAATTAAGCCTTTTCGGAAACCGAATTGGCTTTTAGTTACGACATTATTCCTTTCCAAAAACCATTCCAAGCGATGTTTTATTAGATGTTCCAAGATTTTTGCCAAAGTACATGAAAGGGCAATAGGTCAGTAACTGGAAGGGTCATTGCTAGACTTACCTGGCTTGAGAATGGGCAAAATGATTTGGGATTTCCATTCAGCAGGAGGAGTATCAGTAATATAAAAAAAAATTAAAATGGATAGTAAGACAGTTTTCGTCTTCTCGCTGCTATTAATTATAAACGAATAAGGAATCCCTTCAATACCTGGTGAGGAGTCTTTAAGGCCATTGAGAACAGTAAACAATTCCTGAGAAGAAAAGGGGAAATCAAATTTATCATGTATTTTTAAAGAAGCAGAATTAAAAACTAGGCATTCATCATAAGATGGGATTGTTTGTGGTGCAAGTTTATTGGAGAATTTATCTCTTCTCCATGGGGAAGGAAATTAAATTTTTACTGACAACTGCACAGCGATATTTTATTGACGTTTCTCAAGGACAAAAATGGGAGAGTCCTTAGTGACAGTGACTCACAGAATTTAAACCATCCAGTTCGCTTTTTGCCTAAAAGTAATTTTAAGGTTTCTGCAACAATTTTTTTTATAAAAGATATAATTCTCTGCAGTCATAGAACGGGTGTGTTTTATTCAGCCTCTTTTCTTCTTTTACAAGCTGTTGAACAATCTTGGTCCCAACAAGGAGGGGAAGGATAATTATTTTTGAATGGTTTTTAAGGGGATTGACTTATTAGAAGCAGAAATAATTGCATTTCTGAACTCTATATATACCAGAACAATGTTATCCTTGTTAATTTGGGGAAGCGTTGAAACCTCTCGTTCTAAAACTGAAGAATATAATTGCCAATTAGCTTTGCATAGATTATACTTTAGACGGGGCAAAATGGAAAATTTATTCTAGGGGATGTAGGAGGACTGATGAATATAGGAAAATTATCACTGCCATGGCTAGAAGGTAATATTTGCCATAAAAGAAGGGAAGCAATATCTGGGGAACAAAGAGTTAAGTCAATGGCACTTCTAACATTTTGTTATGGGGATACTTGACGAGTAGGAGACCCGTCATTTTGAATACAGAGATTAAAATTATCAATAAGATCTAAAAATAAGGGAGTCAGTGAATCACAAATATGGGAGCCCCAAACAATATGATGTATATTAAAATCTCCTAAAATAACCATAGAAGGTAATAGAGAAGAAATGATTGTTGCAAGTTTCAAGACATTTACATCAGGATTAGGAATGTAAATAGAGAAAATAGAGATATCAAGGGCCCTCATAGCAATAGCGTTTATTCACTACTAAATCTAGGCCCCAGAGTAGTAATCGCGGGAGACCTAAACAGAAAGCACGTTAGTTGGAACTCTAACCTAAACAATCCAAACGGAAACATATTATGCGGCCTCACGGAGAGACTTAACTTCGACGTTATCGCTCCTGAGAGCCCAACTCACTACCCATTTATAACTAGTCACCAACCGGACGTCCTTGACGTAGCTATTTTAAAAGACATTCGGCTTAACATTAATTCGATCGAAACTTTCGTCGAGCTATGCTCGGACCATAGGCCGATCGTATTAGAACTGGGCCGGTCGGCTGGTGAGGTCCCTCAGACCAAAACCATCGTCGACTGGCGTAAGCTCAAGGTCAAACTTGAGTCTACGAACTCCCAGCATTTAGACTCAATACCGGACAAGACAGACTCGCCAGA